GTGCCTCCCTGAGTTGCAGGGCAGTTTTGTGTTGGTGTATTCAGTTAATTTGTCAACATGGCTGAAAACCGGCTTGAAAAGGGGAGTAGTAATTCTTGGGGGACCTGTCAGCAGAGGGTAAAGGAAAGGAGGGTGAGTCAGTGTAGAGTGATACTGGTTTTGTTCCAAAATCCCCCAAACCTCCTCCACTACTGTGCAGAGTAACAGGTGTAACCACAGGCTTTCCCTGTGCCCTCCCCCAGCACAAGCTAATTTGGGTTTCTAAGCCTATGGAATGAGTACAACATGAGGGAGCCAAAATCTATGGAAAAATATCCATCCTAATATAGGATGTAAAATAAATACAAATGAAGGCTAAAGTAAACCAGCTTTTATTCACATGAAAAAATAAACCTGTTAGCTCTGATAATCAATTAAAATATGATAGAATCAAGCAATCACAGATGTAGAAGCTTATCTTTCTTAAAGTCATTATAAATCGCATCCTCTCCTAAATCTCTCTATTCCCTCTTATTACTTACATCATAATCCCTCCCCGGGTTTCATTTTCATTGCTAAACATACTGTTTGCCAGTCAGTTTATTAAGGTTTGTCTTGACAGTGCCAAAACAAATGCTTTTTTTCAAAGATAAAAGGAAGGCTAATATTAAAATAATAATTTCACCTCTCTGGTAGCAGAGCCTAATTATTGAAGAAATTGGCACATGAAATCTCTGAGGTGATAGGGAATTAGTATGTCAATAGGATCCTGCTTTGAAGTTGACCTACACTGTTCTTGGTGGTGCTGGACATGCCTGGTCTCTTGCCAATAGAGTGTGGGGAAAGAGAACTCTTTTTCAGGAAAGTGGAACCACTAGCAATAAAACTGTTCTTTCTTTACTATTTTTAATAAATAAAAGCTTTCCTAAAAGTACGTGGGATACATCGGAGACGCAAAAAATAAAAGCAAACAGAAGAATTATAAATTTGAGAAGAGCAAAGAGGCTTTTAGGGCCCTGGGACAATTAAAGAAATGTGGAACTATTGTTTTTGTGTTGGAGTGGTGGTTTGGTGACATCAAGCGTACAGCAGTGATGTTAATAAAGTGCTCCTGAATACTGAGAGTGCATTAGGGTTGAAGAGCTTTATTGGATATAGTGAGAAGTGCTGTAATTACTGCTACACAAGCAAACACTTAACAGCCTGAAACTGTTGCTGGTCAACTTCAGGCCTGGAGGAAGCATGAACCCAAACAGCTTAAAATCCCTACTGATTTATGTGGAAAAACTATTGCAAACAAGAAGCACAGCTATTAAAACATGTTAAAACAAGCTTGAAAACAGATGAGATGTAAACAAAACATGTTCATTTTTTTTCTCTGGTTTCGTTAGTGGCTGGCAAATCCAGTGCCAAAGAAAGCTGACAAGGTCATAGCTGTGCCAGTGTTCAGTGGCCTGAGCCCAGGAAACAGACGCTGTGAGTAGGTGGGAAGGCTCTTAGGATTGCCTGATCCAAGCGCAGGACCTTGTACTCAGCTTTTTCGGGCTTCATGAGGTTGCATTGGCCCACCTCTCAAGCTTCTCAAGGTCTCTCTGGCTGGCACCCCTCCAGCACATCACTGTTTCAACACAGCTTGGTTTCATCAGCAAACTTGCTGTGAGTGCACTCAGTCCTACTATCTGTATCACCACAAAGATATTAAATAGTGCAGGAACTAATACTGACCCCCGAGGATTGCCACAGTGTTATGCCAAACTATACCAACTGGTTGTCTGGGTATGGAGATACACATAAAGATTTACAGTAGCTCAGAGAAAGGCAACTGTTAAGAGTAAATTGAAGAGTTAATTATGATTGAGCTTAGTATTTGCATTAACATAACCATACTGGTTTTGGTTCAGTTTTTCAAGTTTGTCTCCTAAGAATAAGCTGTCTGCTAGGGTTTATCAACGGGCAAGTACTTACCTATTCAGCTGAGTGAAGGGCGTTTTAATTTAAAAATAGTTCCCCTACCCCCCCCCCCCAGCTGAAAATTAAAAGTAAGAGTTATCAAAGTAAGAGTTATCATCAGATTTGAGCACTTAGTTTTGCATTATAGAATTTGGAGAAGAATGCATGATCCTTGGGGCTCTCATCCCCATGTCCTAAGACTTTTTTCTGCTTTGGAAATGTCATCCAGAGATGGGACAGTCTGTGAACTCAGTGTACAGGGTTGAAGTTCTTATCTTTTAGAGTCCTCATTGCATCAGTTGTATCAAAGTCTGATTTTTAAAGAAATGACTGGCAGGAAGATCTGTTTTGTTTTCTGATTGTTACATAATTGTTACAGAGTTCCATTTTTGACTGCTGCTGTTAAGTTAAGCCTAGACCAGAGTTCCCCTGATATATTGCTTAGTTGTTTCCAGCAGCAGTCTTCTTTATAAAATTCTTGGTTTATTAAATTTCTGGACTGTGAATGTAACGAGTTCCTATGTCAAAGTTGATGGGACTCCAACCACTCCTCACTGCAACCTTGCCTCAAGGCAGTAAGCTATAAATGTTCATCCTTCAAGACTAGGATGAAACAGCTGAAATCTCTCATGTAAAAAGATACCTAAAGTTAGTCCGCTTCTAGTCACAATTTTTCCTGCCTGTGAGAAGACCTGAGCGTCTTGGTGTCCCATCTGCAAGTAATAGAGGAGCTGACAAGGAGAGGTGCCATGCTTGACCTCGTGCTCACCAACAGGGAAGGGCTCGTTGGAAATGTGATGCTCCAGGGCAGCCTTGGATGCAGCGATCACGAGATGCTCGAATTTGAGATCCTCAGGACAGTGAGAAGAGCGTGCAGCAAGCTCACTGCCCTGGACTTCAAGAGAGCAGACTTTGGCCTCTTCAGGAACCTGCTTAGTAAGGTTCCATGGGATACAGCCCTAGAGGGCAGAGGGGCCCAAGACCGTTGGTTGATATTCAAAGATCACCTGCTGCAAGCTCAGGACTGTTGCATCGCAACCAGAAGGAAGTGCAGCAGGAGGGCCAGGAGACCTCCTTGGATGGATAAGGAGCTCCTGAGGAAAATTCAGTTGAAAAAAGAAGCTTATAATAAGTTGAAGCAAGGACAGGTGGCATGGGAAGAGTACAGGGATGTTGTCTGGGAAGCTAGGGACCAGGTCAGGAAAGCTAAGGCCCAGTTAGAATTAAACTTAGCTAGAGGTATTAAAGATAACAGGAAGGGATTCTACAGGTACATAGCAAATAAAAAACAGACTAGGGAGAATGTAGGCCCCCTCTGGAAGCTCTCAGGAGAACTGGCTACACAGGATTTGGAGAAGGCTGAGGTTCTGAATGACTTCTTTGCCTCAGTCTTCACTGGCAAAGGCTCTGACTGCACCACCCAAGTCTTGGAAGGCAGATGCAGGGACTGTGAGAATGAAGACCTTGGGCCCACAGTAGGAGAGGAACTGGTTCAAGACCATCTTAAGAATCTGAACGTGCACAAGTCCATGGGACCTGATGAAATCCATCCACGGGTCCTGAAGGAGCTGGCAAATGAAGTTGCAAAGCCGCTGGCCATCATATTTGAGAAATCATGGCAGTCAGGTGAAGTTCCTGATGACTGGAAAAAGGGAAATATAACCCCCATTTTCAAGAAGGGGAAAATGGATGAGCCAGGGAATTACAGACCAGTCAGTCTCACCTCTGTGCCTGGCAAAATCTTGGAGCAGGTTCTGCTGGAAGGCATGCTAAGGCACATGAAAAACAACAAGGTGCTTGGTGACAGCCAGCATGGCTTCACTAAGGGGAAATCCTGTCTGACCAATTTGGTGGCCTTCTGTGATGGGGCTACAGAACTGATGGACAGGGGTAGAGCAGTTGATGTCATCTACCTGGACTTGTGCAAAGCGTTCGACACTGCCCCACACGACATCCTTGTCTCTAAATTGGAGAGACATCAATTTGATGGATGGACCACTCTGTGGATAAAGAACTGGCTGGGTGGCCACACACAAAGAGTTGTGGTCAATGGCTCAATGTCCGGCCGGAGACCAGTAACAAGTGGTGACCCTCAGGGATTGGTGTTGGGACCGGACTTGTTCAACATCTTCATCGCTGACATGGACAGTGGGATTGAGCACGCCCTCAGCAAGTTTGCCGATGACACCAAGCTGTGTGGTTTGGTTGATACGCTGGAGGGAAGGAATGCCCTCCAGAGGGACCTTGACACACTTGTGAGATGGGCTGATGCCAACCTCATGAGGTTTAACCATGCCAAGTGCAAGGTCCTACACCTGGGTCGGAGCAATCCCAGGCACAGCTACAGGTTGGGCAGAGAAGAGATTCAGAGCAGCCCTGCAGAGAAGGACTTGGGGGTGTTGGTCGATGAGAAAATGAACATGAGCCAGCAGTGTGCACTTGCAGCCCAGAAAGCCAACTGTAACCTGGGCTGCATCAAAAGGAGCGTGACCTCCAGGTCGAAGGCAGTGATCCTGCCCCTCTGCTCTGCTCTTGTGAGACCTCACCTGGAGTATTGTGTGCAGTTCTGGTGTCCTCAACATAAAAAGGACATGGAACTGTTGGAACAAGTCCAGAGGAGGGGCACGAGGATGATCAGGGGACTGGAGCACCTCCTGTATGAAGACAGGCTGAGGAAGTTGGGGCTGTTCAGCCTGGGGAAGAGAAGGCTGCGTGGAGACCTCATAGCAACCTTCCAGTATCTGAAGGGGGCCTATAGGGATGCTGGGGAGGGACTCTTCATTTGGGATTGTAGTGATAGGACAAGGGGTAATGGGTTATAATTTAAACAGGGGAAGTTTAGATTGGATATAAGGAGGAAATTCTTTTCTGTTAGGGTGGTGAGGCACTGGAATAGGTTGCCCAGGGAGGTTGTGAATGCTCCATCCCTGACAGTGTTCAAGGCCAGGTTGGACGAGGCCTTGGTTGATATGATTTAGTGTGAGGTGTCCCTGCCCACTGCAGGGGGGTTGGAACTGGATGATCTTAAGGTCCTTTCCAACCCTAACGATTCTATGATTCTATGATTCTATGACATTTGGTGATACTGAAAGCCGTTTCCAAGCTGCTTCAATGTGAGTAACTTTAAACCCATAATGCAATAAATATTTCCTTGAATGTATATAGACCACTATAAAGAGATAAGTGAGCTACTAATTCTTCTCTTGATCTTACTATGTTTAGTTGAATTTCTGGAGCAACTAGAAATCACTTTTTTAATGTTCTATTAACTACAGAAGATGATGTGTGTTAAGATTGATGTTAAGTTTGGGTTACATTTTTAAATGTATTCTGATTTGGATTAAGCGGTACTTTTCTGTGTGTGTATATGTACAAACATACATACGTTCTGTTAAATTTTCTGCTTTTAAATTCACCACTTTGATGTAGAGGGAAGGTTACCTGAATTGATAGCTTAGTTTGAGATGCTCATGGTGGAGTTGGCCTGGTGACGGGCATCATGTGCTCAATGCTGAAAAAGCTGTTCTGACCCTTTCCTGGCATGCACAGTCTGGATGGAAGCATATTTTGACTTTTTAATGTGATATGAAAGCATACGGATTTCCTCTTGTGAAATACAACCAACTTACATGTTTTATGTCACTCTGCTTTGAGACAGCTGGAGCTGAAGACGAGCTGCAAATATAAACACCATTAGTCCTTTTTTTTTTATCTGTATGAAGCACAACACTCCCTCCTCCTATGCTTTTAGACCCATAAGGACAACAATCTACCTGCCCCACCTGCACAGCATAGGTGTGTGGAAAGGTACCAGGTAAACTGAGACAGTAAACTTTGGTAGTTTGAAGGTTGTGTTAGTATTTCTTTGTTGAGCAATTACTAACTAAAAATGAATGTTAAAACTGCTTAAGCCATAAGATTTTTATTTAAAAGTCATAAGAGATCCTTCAGGTTATTTAAAAATAGGCAAGAAGAAAGACCTAGTTGCTGTCCATAAGGAGATGCTTTGGATCTAAAATTGTTTCATGAGGCTCTGAGAAAATTTTGTGGGCTTTACTCGAGAGGCAGTTGAGTCGGTGCTGTCTGGTCCTAACAGGAGTTTAACCTCTAGTAATTAATCTCTGTTGACTGAAGATGAATTTCAGTGTCTAGTAAGAGTGGTGTGATGGAGACTTTTTGCCTTTTAAAATGCATAACATAAGCTGACATGTGATTGTAACAGGAGCATCTCCAGGGCAGCAAGGAGGAGACATGACCTTGGGAGACTGATTGCAGAGGCTGGGATGTCCCTGAGCATCAGGGCACATCAGGGAAATGGGGAGAGGGACCATGTTATGGGCAGGGGCATGACCAGAGGGACACATGCAGCATGATTGGAAAAGTTTCCTGGCCTTTCATCACATCAGCAGTAAAGGCTGTTGCCTTACTTTGGCCATCATCCTCAACATAAGTGTTGAAGAGCATGTGCAGTGACATTGCTGGTGACCAGAGGGAGGGTACTGAAACCCTCCCAGCTGGTTTTTGAGAGCTGATGGGAGAACATAGGCTAGAGGAGGGTGTTCAACATGAGTGCACTGTATCTGGATGAGCCCCTGGACACAACAGCTACTTAAAGCACACCCCAAACTCTCCCTAAGGAAGGGGAAGGCTTGTCCAAGGGCAGCATCTGAAAGTCTTTTGCAGTCATTAGTGCTGTCCCCTGTGCTGCAAGCTGCCTGCAATGAGCATGTCGACATCCCTGCGATGTGCTCAGATTTCAAAGGCAGTTCTCCCAACCAGCTGCATCTGAAGAAATTGAGCAATTTTTTAAACTTTTTTTTTTTTTTTTTTTGAAGGTACCATGCCAAGTCTTTTGAAATGAAAGCTGGGGCAGGACTAGTGGAGATTAATGTAGGAAAAATGCTGCTGGCTTGATAAGCCACAGATGTCTCTGAGATTTGCTGAGGCTGTTGACAGCTTGCGATGGATTGCAGCTTGCGAGGTGAGGTCCCTGTGCCCCAGGACCAATGCACTGGTTACATGGCTAGTGGTGTGGGGCAGGGTTTGGCCCAGCATGGTTGTTGGATGAAGGGATTGAGGAGACCTGGAAGAAAAACTGATGGGAGCTTCAGACCTGTTCTGGGCGCAGACTGCTGCTGCAGGGTTTTCTCATGTGCTGTGCCTATTGGTGCAAAAGAAGTGACATTTAAAACAAATGATGTCACTGCTGGCAACTGTGTTATAAAAACAGTAACAGAAAGACATAAACTGGTGAAATTCCATGAAAACATAAGTTGGTCATGGATACTCAACCTGTTGTGCTGATCCTGGGGGATTGAAAAGGTGACTTTAGTGGAATTATTTCCAGGGGGTAGATAGGAGCTGTGCTTATGTTAATTCTATGTATATAATTAACACTACATAACTTTTTTTAGAGAGGACTGTCATTGAGTACTGCCAGGTAGCACCACTGACAAATGGATAACAACTTGTTTGTTCTTTTTAAGAGAATGGTCTCATCAAACACTGTTACAGGAGCTGTGCAGAGTGTGACAGGAGGTACCGCTGAGATAGTCTGGATGTTTTGCCTTTAGAAAATTGCAGATAATTGCTTAATGTCATAAAAACATATGTCAAAATTCATAATTTCTTGACCTTGTCCGCACATATAGCATATATTTTTTGTGAGATGCTGCCAGCTAGACTATTTTTGAATTCTGCTCAGTTGCCTTCATGATACCAAGGCCAAATACTTCACTGACTTGTGGCACTAATACACACATGAAATTAGTATTGCACACTGTCAGTGACTTTTCATGCAGAAATCCTCTGAGAGTCTCATCTTCTGCTTGGATTAAGGTTCTTCTGAAGCTGCATTCCTTCATGCCCTGATATTGTATGTTTAGATCTATTTTTAGTAATAAATAAATAAATAAATAAATAAATAAAATCTGTTAGTTTTAATTCTGAAGTGATGCTTTTTTCTTCACCTTAAAATACCCTTGCACACAGTGATGTTTATATGCAATGTCTTGGTACCCACACTTCCCACATCTGGGTAACAGATTGGAATTGGTATAACCTCAAGGTCCAACAAATGGAGAAAATTGCTCTATCAAATATTTTGAAAATACTTGGAATCAAAATAGCCTTTTCTTTTCTTTCTCTAAAAACAGCAGCAAAGTTTTATGTAGACTTGTGATAAACACTAGGTAAGAAAGTATATTCACATTAACTTGAAATAGCTGTAGTGATTTAAATGTAACTTTTTCTATAATACATAATGTGCTTGTAAATGAATTATCAAATATTTAAGTCTTTCTTGCCATCTTTGTGATACCATCATTTTTCCCTAGTGGCAGCCTTTGTTGCATACCCTGGTTGGTACAGTTTGACTTGTGTATAGTCAACACCTCACGGTATAGCTCAAAGGCAGTTGGCATTTTGCATTTTTATTGGGACAACCTGTAAATTGATAGCACACACAAATTTGATAAAGACAGCTGAGAAATAATTTCCATAAATCATAGGAAAACTTTTATTCCCTGTACTCTCTAAAGTAGTTAAAATATGAGGGGAATTTCAGAGGAAAATGGTATAAAACTTTTCAGCAACATGACTTTGGTTACCTAAAATGTATGGATATTTGAAGAAGCAAATTGAAAATTGTTTTATTTCAATTTTTCTATAAAATAAAGAGGTTCCAATGTTTCCAATTTTTTTTTTTTTTTTGAGAAGGTGATAAGTTGTTGTTTGGTTTTTTTTTGTCAGGTCTCTTCTCTGGGGCTTGTCAGTGCAAAGAAATATTCTATTCTTGTAGACTTTGTGGCTCCTGTGGGGCTCTCTGTAAAACTCTCACTATGCTAGATGTCACTATCTAAAATCCTGTATCCTTGGGTGGCATTTAGACCTTCGGTATGCAGGGTGCTGTTTTTCCTTACCCAGAGGGATAAATTATCATTTCATCAGCTGTAGATTGGTGTGTGCCTCTGCACGAAATCCAACACTAGTGTCATTTCAACTGTAGGAGATGGGCAACAGGGTAAAAACATCCCTCCATTTGGGATGGGAACATGGCTCCCTGTCTCCAGACCAGGTTTCTTTTAGGTAGTTCATCTGTTGTGCCAACCCCAGCTGCAGTGGGGATGATTTCAGCATTGTTTGTAGCTTTCTTATGGAAGTCTGTAGGGTAAGACATAAGGTCAGTTTAATGAAGTTCTAAGAAAGAGTTTTGAGTAACTTTATGTATTTGCTGAGTTTTTGACAGACTGCTGTGCTGTAGCTGAATTATGACTGCTATGTAGTTCTTATTGCCTTAAATTTTCTGTTCATGCTCTTAATGGTTATGTTATTTAAATCCATTATTTGTTGGGTGGAATGGGTCTGTAAATGAATGATGTGTATGATCTGTGTGAAGCGTATGATCTGTAAATGCCTTAAAGTGCAGGTATCTGAATAAAACTGCTCTTGAAAACTCCTTTGTGGAAATGAAAATACAAAACTTGCCACGTAAAATGTCAGCAATGGCAGTGCAACATAAAACCCCTGCAAGATTTCTTTTCTTTTTTTTTTATGAATAAGGAAAAAGTGTAATTCATGCCTAGATAATTAGTAGTGTTTTAGCACTGAAATGTACACCACTTGGAGGACCGTCACCAAAGCCTTTCACATCTGCACAGCGTATGAAATTCCAAGCAATTAAAACAATATTTGCTTCTGAAAAGAAGTCTGTTGTGCCTTAGCAAAAAGCATATTGCAGGAGTGAAAACAAATGGGGTTAAGCAGAAGGTGTGATAAATAGAAAATGTACTGTCAAAAACATTCTGACACATCTTTTCAGTGCTGAAATTAAATATGGAATGACTTTGTGAGCCAGTGTCACTTGCAAAGATGAATTTATTGTAGTATTCCTTGTGAAAGGTTTTTGCTTTTCAAGAACTGGGGGGCTTGTGTGGTTTTGCTTCTTTTTTTAAAATGTAAGCAAAAAAAAAAGGCACAATGCCATTTGGTCTTCCCTTTTACACTTGCATAGTCCTTGAGTATCATTAGGTCTTTCGTTGTTAAATATAAAACAAAAAACGTACCTTGGCAAAGTGAATACCTAAAAGGGATCTTTTAGTTGACAGCTCCACATGTAATTCCTGAGTGCTTGTGGAGGTATATTAAAATTATTTAGAAGAAAAAAGAAGATAAAAAAAGGGGGGGGGGGGGGATTTGATTTTCATTAGTTTGTGGTTTCATGGTTAACTTGTGAGACCTCACTTGGAGTATTGTGTGCAGTTCTGGTGTCCTCAACATAAAAAGGACATGGAACTGTTGGAACAAGTCCAGAGAAGGGCACGAGGATGATCAGGGGACTGGAGCACCTCCCGTGTGAAGACAGGCTGAGGAAGTTGGGGCTGTTCAGCCTGGAGAAGAGAAGGCTGCGTGGAGACCTCATAGCAGCCTTCCAGTATCTCAAGGGGGCCTATAAGGATGCTGGGGGTGGACTCTTCATCAGGGACTGTAGTGACAGGACAAGGGGTAATGGGTTAAAACTGAAGCAGGAGAAGTTTAGATTGGATATAAGGAGGAAGTTCCTTCCTGTTAGGGTGGTGAGGTACTGGAATGGGTGAGTGCTCCATCCCTGGTGGTGGTCAAGGCCAGATTGGACAGTGCCTTGGGTGATATGGTTTAGTGTGAGGTGTCCCTGCCCATGGCAGGGGAGTTGGAACTTGATGATCTTAAGCTCCTTTCCAATCCTAACTATCCTATGATTCTATGATCTTTGTATAGAAAGGGTGAAAAAGCATTTAAGAAAATAAAAGCTGAAATCCTTTGCATCCCTGGTGCAAAGCAGGAAGATATGCCTGCGCTGCATAAGCGCTTGGTGCCATCCCTTTCCCAGTTCCCTATTTTTGGAAGCCTCTGTAGAAGGTCATTGGGAAACATAATCCACAGATCCTAAGGCAAAAGGAGCCTGGATTATCATTCATGTGAAACTAAAGACAGAGTGCTAGCAGAGAACAAATAGTTACTCCTTTAATATTTCCTAAATGAATGCAAGTGTCTTAAATTTCAGTTGTTCAAAATTAGTAGCTGAATTAAAAGAAAATGTTTAGCTCTTAATTTTATTTTTTTTTTTTTCTCTTAGTCCATTATTCATTATTTTGACCTGATGTTTGAAATCTAATCACTGCTACTGAGGGAAGTATTTCAGGAAGCTGTCTAGACAAAGAATTTTAATATAAATATTAAGAAAACAGCTATTTGTCAACTTGATAAGAATAAATTGTGTATTGTACATTCATAATCACATGCTTTATTCTGTTTAAACTTGCAATTGCTGCCCTCATAATAGGAAGCGATAAGCATCTATATTTACACTTTGTTTGTTTCATTAGAAATAATAATTGAAAAACACACAACAGATTGCAAAAACATTCCTCATTTCTCTGATAGTTGTCTTACATTGAGGCTTCTTGTTTCCAGTCTCTGTGGTCAGATAGGGATGCACTAGACATAGAAGTGTGCTTCCCATATCTGTGAGCTGTGCTGGCTTTTCTCACGAACAAAAAAAAAAATCAAACCCAAAACAAAACACACAAAAACCCAACAAAAGCAACAACAAAAAAGGTGGGAATTGGGATATGGAAGAGTGTTGGGATGAGATAAATGGAGGACCTGACTCAGGGTTTTGGTCCCAATATGCCTGTGTCCATCCTTCTCTCTAGCTCCAGCTCCCCAGCAAGCACATTTACATGACTACAACAGCACTGAGGAAGTGTTTTGCCTGTGGTTGAGGTCTGCAGTTTTGTCCCTTTCATGCCAATTGGTGGTTGTGACTGTCTTGATGAAATTTCAGTACAAGCCTTTACCAAGGAAAGCTGAATTTGTGTTGTCTCTTAAAAATCTTTCTAATTTTAACTAAAATAATAAAATTCTGAAGTATATTTAGAAGCTGCATTTAAAATTCTCTCTTCCTTCAGAAGCAGAGAAAGTGACAATTTCACCATTTGATGAATGACATAAATTGATTTACAGCTTCTTTTGACATTCAGTCATGCAGCAGATGCAAAGGAGCAGCTGGTAATGCAACCAGTAAAAGTTAAAATAAAGAGGAGGAAATGCTATATAACAGAAGCAAAGGGATATTATTAGCTCCTGCACTCTGGTAGAGAAGAGCCATGGGATGAAAGAAGCTCTTTAGGAAGCCAGGGCAATTTCCCTGTGGCTCCCATACCCATCTCACACACACAGGACTGGTGTTTCCCAGCAGGAGCTGGTCTGGACCAGGCTGTGCCACCAGAGAGATGAAGGGCAATAGATACAGAGAGGTGCTGGGTGATTGCAGAGCCAAATCCAACACTTGCAGTGGTTTTGATAAAAGGGATTTCTTCAGTGTAATTAATTGCTGGATAAGAGATTAAAACGTCACGAGTTGAGGCAGCTTGGGGAATTAAAAGTGAGCTTTTTCCTGTGTGTTGCACTATCAAATTGGGCAAGACCAGGGTGACCTTTCATTTGAATGTAGGTGGTAAAGTACATTGATGATTGCACCTGGATTGCAACGCTCAGAGGATGCCATGTCAATAACACATAGAAAATCAGGGTTCCTTTTCCTGTGCTGTACAGCCTTTGCTCAATGGGTGTCGTGGTTTAAGCCAGTCGGAAACTCAGCCATGCAGCTGCTTGTTCACTTCCCCCCCCCGCCTCCCCCCTGCTCCCGGAGGGATGGGGCAGAGAATAGAAAGAATGTAACTCCCACGGGTTGAGATAAGAACAGTCCAGTAACTAAGGTATAACACAAATCACACCACCAATGATAATAATGATAAGGGAAATAACAAGGGAAGAGAATACAACTGCTCACCACCTGCCAACCGATACCCAGCCCAACCTGAGCACTGATCTAGCCCTTCTGGGTAACGGCCCCCCAGTTTCTATAGTGGGCATGATGCACTGTGGTATGGAATACCTCTTTGGTTAGTTTGGGTCAGGTGTCCTGTCTCTGCTTCCTCCTGGCTTCCCCCCCTCCCTGGCAGAGCATGAGACTCACAAAGTCCTTGGTCAGAGTAAATATGACTGAGCAGCAACTAAAAACATCGGTTTTATCAGTGCTGTTCCCAGGCTGAAAGTCAAAACCACAGCACTGCACCAGCTACTAAGAAGCAGAAAAATGACTGCTACTGCTGAACCCAGGACAATGGGACACTTGGGGCAGTCCCTCTCCTAACCTTACCAAACTCACCCTTAGAGCCTAGAGATTTGCTCACACATCTTTCAATGAGGAACTGCTCCAGACATTGATTGCCTGACATGGCAACCTCCTCCTCCCAATTCCTCGACTGCCCACCTCCTAAGAGGAGCCATCAACTGCTCGAGCTCAGTAGGCTGGCAAAGTGTGAGATGCTGTAATTTGTACAAAATCAAATTTATGCAGGGAGTGAAAAAGCAAGAAAAACTAGCATTGGTAATACTCAATTTTTAAAAACAAAACAAAAACCCAAACAAAACGAACTCCCCACAACCTCCAATCCTAACTTTCTTAAAACAGAAAGCTCTTCACATAGGAAACTACAGAGGGAGCATTTGGAAGGGCAAAGAGAGAAGAATTCAAACCCTGGAAAAGGTACATGTGATACCAAATGAGGCCACGTATGGCTCAGAATTATTTTTTTGTGACCCTTCCTAAATGCGATATATTCCAAATAAAATTCCTTTTGCTTAAATACTGAGTTGAACCATACCAAATACACTGAAGGAGGTACTGTTGACACTTGCATAGTGGCATGAACACTTCCCCATGTCTGCTAAGAACTCCTGTGATACTGTAAGATCGCGTTCACTGTTTTTGTAAGTGCATCATGTTGATGCTGACAGTTATTGCAGGACCAGCTCAGGCACACAACTGCTTCTCAATCCTTTGCAGCTTTGAATGAGCTATTAAATTGCAACAATAAACCCTTGAAATTAGTCTTCAGCATTTAACATTCTGTTTCACACAATGGAAAGGTCACCTTCACTTGCATTCTCTTCTTAGGTTTAGCTGGTTCCTGGTATACAGCAGCCCCCAGGTGCCTTTCTGCTGGCAATGCTTTTCAGCTTAATTTACTGAAAGATTTTGTATTTTTGTCTTAAGTAAATGAATATACACAAAATTCTGTCCCATAGCTATTCCTAACAATTTCTTCCAGTCGTTTTACTCTAACCTGATACTTTACTTCTCAAAAACATTAATTTCCATTTTGTCTTGGCTCAACTTCTCATGCAATTCATAGGTTCTCTGCTAATCTTTAGTCTTCTTTTGAGTAATGTTTCTCTCGTGTCAGCATGTCAAATGGTTTATTAATGTCCAAACATGAGAGCTCTTACATCAGCTTTCTTCGAGAAAAGTTTTATGTGGAGAAAAATGTCACTTATTTGGTACACACAGTACTTGGTAGGTTGGTCTCTGTCATACAGTCACTTTCCCCTTTGTCTCATCAAACTTCCCTCCTCCTTCTTTCAAGATTTCTTCAAAAGCACTAAATACTTCAATCTATTTCTCTGGAGTAATTTCTCTGAGCTCTGTTTTTAAATATCAGCACTCTTTGGCACTGAATTCTTTTTGATCAGCTGGAAGCGTCTGTGACTGGGAAAACTTAGTGTAGCTGCTTCTGCCTGCCTTTCACTTCTGTGTCCACTTTTGCTTCCATCTTAGTTATGATCACCTCATATCCTGATCCACCTTGAAAACTGAGGTCAAGTTCTCATTTAAAGCTCTGTCTAGGTCACCCTAAATCTATGTCCTATCTGTATTGTAAAACACCTTTTTATTTTTCTCTTTCTGTTCTCTTATTTGTACACAACCTTATTGCTCTTTGTTCTGAAATGCAACTCTTTAAATTTGCAAAACGGATTTTTTCAAATAATACTAAAAAACAATCTTTCTTACAGTATTCTATTTTTTTTTTGCATCCAAAACTTTTTTCTAAATCCATTTTGCACTTTCTAAAATCAAGTGCGCATTTGTACAATCTTAGAAAGTGAGGTATGTTTTATTTATTAAAAAATAGAGCTAAAAAAGAGAAGCAACAGGTCCCAAAGTACAGACTGAAAATTAGTTTGTCCTTAGCAAGTGAGATGGTTTTGGCAGCAATTGCACTAAACAGGGATTTTCCAATCTTGGCTGCTAACATGAGATTCCTTGTTTAGGATCACATTGCTTGTAGATTACAGAATTGGCCACAGAATAGACACACTACTCAAATGACAGATTTGTCCAACCTGTGCTGTGTTACAGGAAACGGGGCCATGTTTTGTAAACCAGAGCTAATATTTTCCATCTGTAACCAAGTACAAGACTGATGAAGGACATAAAGAATATTCTGCAATGGAGAAGGTCTGGAAGAAGAAATCCCTACTCTTTAAAAATAATTAAAAATAAAAAAGCAAGCAAAACAAAAAACCAAAAGCACCAAACTGCATTTAATTTGAGTTTATTTCTCTCATTATAATTTGTAGTGTCCTGAAAATGAATGCTATTTTTTTTTACAGCAAAGTGTACCTTAAACAGCTCAAAGCAGCTATGAGCAAACTGATTCTCCAGAGAGACCTTTGTAACTATTTTGCAGTTTAGGACAAAACATTTCGATTTAGTAGATGAATTTTTAACATTCTCGTGAAAATGCATTGCATATGTTGTTGGGCAAAATCTCAAATATGGGCCAGTTATGATGTGAGTTCTTCCTATAGAACTTACCAGGCTTTGCCCAAGTTGATTTATTTTCTAGTATACCCAAACTTATACATGTTATGAGAAAACCAAGACTCCAGCTTTACTCCAGCAATCCCCACTGAACATGACAGATCTAGAGATAGATACTGGCCATAAAGAGCTTCCTCTTTCTCACATAAAGAATGAGCAGTGGTAAATATTTCATGTGTGTCTAGTTCCACAGATACCTTAGTACTTGGGGATAGTCAACTTTCAGTAATAAGATATCTAGCTTACTGTAGTGCTGAAGTGTCCCCCTGAAGTACCACTTCCCTTCTGCTCCTCTTTGATAGTGTACAGAAATAATGATGCATCTCTTTCTGAAATAGAGATCTGCAGTAGGCTGGGTGAATCCTGCCCTCAGCTGGTCCCTTTTTCCCTAACTGTAAAGGGAGATCTGCAGGTGTTTGCATTGTACATCTTGCTTACATCTTGCAGTCTGTAAGCATAACATGTGAATACCCATCCCAAAGAAAGAGCCCCATACTATGGCGTGAGAGCTGAGCTGTGGGTAAGTCAAGGACCTGTTCCTCTGAGCTCCCAAACCTTTATCTCATGGTGCCCTAATGCCCTGGGTCCCTGTACAGTGTGTTGCAGAACCCATAAATGGATCAATGGCAGGTGAGCTTGTGTCTTTGGATAGCTGTTGGGTTGCGGGCCATTCCTTGCTCCCCTCAAATGAAAAGGGGATGGTGCTAATTTGAGAGGTTTTTCTGATTTGTCCTCACTAGAGGAGAACTTGCTTGGGAGATGATGTTGTGTTTTCAGAACTGGTTTGGAGAGAAGGGGAAGCTCTGGCTGGGATGGCAGCAGGGTAATCCTCTGTCAAGAGATCTTGCTGAACTCATCACATGTGGACCAAGTGTGTATGGACAGGAGTTCACATTTACAAGACTGGAACCTTGTTTTAGAAGATGGGGCCAGAAGTGCCAGTGCAAAGGCAAGAGCTGTGTGAAATTGAGAGCTGTGAAGATGGAAAAAAATATCATAATGACCCTGAATGGATGATAGCAGAGTGTGAGAGGCGAGATGCTTTCCAGCCTGGGACTTCAAGGGTGCTGAGCCAGTGGCTCCAGCAAATGATGCTGGGTTTGTGCAGAACAAATGGCCACAGAAGTTTCACACCTGTGGAAGGGAATCTAAAAGGGCTGAATTTGGCTCAAAGTATTTCCCTAAGGTTGTGGTGCCTTCAGCAGTCGTGGGGCTGTGCTTCAACCACAGTGTGAAAAATGTATGTAAAAAAGTAAATAATTCTCTGCCCAGTTATATTCTATAGCAGTGACTGCACAAAGTAGCTAATCACTTTTTTTCATTAAGATTGTCAATCCTGTAAACCACTGCACACACTTCCTCCCTAATTTCCATCTGCACAAAGTAGCACATGGATAATCGAGGACCATGGTGGAGGTGTATAAATATTCTGAAGTGCCTCTAGAAAGCAGGTTTTATGTATACAGATCAGCAAATCGTTGGTGGGAAACACAACTTGGTTATGTGTTTTAAGAGAAATAAAGCAGCAGAGGTGACTTTCTTTTACCCTGCTGTAAAATTTTAGTTAGTAATCATGTATTACTAACAGCGAGAGAGAATTTAAGTAACTTCTCAGTGCTTGTAAAACACTGATACTTTCAAGTAAGGCTCAGTATCAAACACAGTGGTTTTCTCATGTGGCATAACAAACTTTTCCAGGAGGAAGCAGCTTGTAGTGATGTTGCAGCCCCAGCCTTCAGTAGACTACATAAGAGAAATACTGGTACCCTCTCACGTAGTAATGGATTTAGGGGCTGTTATTTCAAAAAACCTGTCATCCTACCCTAGGTAGTCTGTGTCTATTAAAATAATGATGGAAAAAAATAGATACTGTGATTAATAGGGGGTTCACCTGGGGGAAAGGGTACCTGCTTAAGGTGGCTGCTGTGCTGAACTGGGAGTCTGTGCTAGTCTTATTGTAAGCTAAGACTGTGAGCAATTGTCTGGGACATTGTGAGGTTTTTAACTATAATTCAAGTGAATCCCAATTTAAATTAGTCACAAAGAGAGGGTTTGAGGTGTTTAGCAATAAGGTGGGGTGTTGCTTTTTTCCCCTGTGTTTTCATTAGCTAAAAGAGGGAAGTTCTTTTTCCAAGGTAAGTTTTGAATTTGCTTTACATTGAGGTTTACAATAAGTTATCCTTCAGCCAAAAAGTAGATGTACTTCTGTATTTTATAGTACCAATTCTTCTAGAGTGAACACTGGCATTGTTTTAACGTAATACCCTTTTCACCTTATGAAGCAATAATAATTGATGCTTGGTACTGGTTTTGTTAAGGTTAAGTCTAGTGTTCAAGTTTTTTTAGGTCTGATTTGAGAAACAGAGAAACAGTTCACATTCCTCAGAGGGAGATGGAACAGCCGAGCTGATTGACATTTCCCACAGCTTCAGCCAGGTGGAACTGAAAGAGCAGCACTCTAGTGATTGCAGTGGGGAGATGAAATTAAGTTTGGAATTGGAGAGCTTGTTTGACCTAGATAACAGACGCAGTAAAACTGACTAGAGCTGGTGTTGGAACTGCTAAGTGCTGCCTCTCTCTTTCAAGGCAGGTCATGGACAATGGGCTCTGTTCACTGGGTCAGGGCTTAGGGCAGTGTGTTTTTTCTGGCTGGTTCAGCTGAAAGTCGGTCATAAGTCTGCTGTGTTATGCCAGTTTGGGCCAGTTTTTAAGGGCAGACATTAGCTGTCCCACACACAGGCTGCTCCCCGTCTGCTGACGTTGATTTTAAGACTAGTAACCAAGTTGGGAAACAGGGTTGTTTCAGAAAAATAGAGGTAGCTGAGCCTACATAACTAGTGGATCTTTTATTGTTTGCAGCTACAAGATGAAGGCCACCTTTAGCAGATATACACATTTCTGTTCAGTCTTTGCCAGAAATGCCCGTGATGATTGTGACTAGGTCTGCTCGCTGTGGCTTTGTTTATGACTAGAATTGGAGCCAGCTATATGGCTGTCAGCACAGGGATTCAAGTACACATTTATTTGGGAACATAGTTCTGCATCAGTCGGATGAGAGCTGGCACTTGCTGCAGGAACTTGCTACTCTTTTGTGCGGGGTTAAGTTTTAGTTTTTCTAAATTGAACTAAGCACCTCTGCAGTATTAAGGCAGTGGATAGTGCTGAGGTGGAGATTCCAGCTAATGAAAGCCAAAGCTGTTGGCTCAGTTCTTAGATCCTTCTACTGCAGTCAAATTTGAATGAGGAAAAGTAGAATGCTTGATCATGTCTAGCATTGGTCAGGGTACACTGTCCTGCTAAATAGACCCAGCCTTTCGGCTAGCACTGCCAGGACCCCAGCTGGTCCCTGTAACTGGTTTGCTGTTGTTGATTCAAGAATGACTTTCCAAAGGCCACATCTAGTGACAGCCAAGGATGGAGGTTAGCAGTGGGACTGCAGACTTGCTTCTGATCTTTGCCCTGCCTTTCAGGTTTAGGTTGGAGGCTGGGTCTGACTGTGTGGCTGTCTAGTGCCTCATCCTGTGGCAGTGCTTGCAGGTGGGATTACAGTGGATTAAATAAAATATGGGACCAGAAGAAACTAACACATTGTTTGTTCAGTTCTTCCCATTGTTCATTCTTCCCATCTGTTGTGGCAAATTTACTTATCAGGCTTGTTCAACTCAGTTGGAATCTCCTTTCCTGGGTGATACATGAATCTCTGAGCACAGTTATGACCCTTTACATTTCATTTCAATGGTAAATTGTTATTTATAGCAATGAGCTTGACAGAGGCTGTGGAATTATTGGCTGTATGTTTTATAAGCCAAGCCAAACAAGGAACAAAAATAATTCTGATTCAAATTCCTCTAAGCCCAAGCTCTGCTGCTATTCATGGGATCCACAAAAATCTGCATTTCAAGTCTTTCAGATTTGTTCGGCTCTTCAGTTATCTTGCAGAATTTGAACCTTTAGCCTAATTAAACTCTGGAAATAGAAGGATTTGGTGTGGCTGAAAATTTTATAGCAGACATGGAAGAAGATGGTGCCTAAACTGCTAAATTGCTGCCATGCAAGGGAATTTGATAATCTTAAGGTCCTTTCCAACCCTAACTATTCTAGGATTCTATGACATGGACAGGAGGAATACATGGAGCAAAGGGTACTGTGGCGTTACTGTTTGGGAAAAGCAGTTGCATTTTGCAGAGCGTTTCTCCAGGACAGGGAACGACCTGGGATGCCCTGGAGACATACCTGGGCACCAAGTCAGAGTCATGTGCAAACACATGGTGAGGGACTGACTTGCACTTGGCCCTGACCATTCGCTTTTCCATTTGCACAGCGTGTAGGTTGGTCACTGTGCAGGCAAGTTAAGAGGCTGCCATCTTCCTGTGGCACGAGAGCAAGTTCCTGAGGTGATAAAAGTCAAGGAGAGGGCATCCCTTGGCTAAATGGGATTTGGAAAACACTAGGGAAGAGTGGGGAAAACAGTTGTAATGTTTGTATTACCTGCATCAAACCGTATGTATCTGTGTTGTAAAAAGCTGTGGCAGTGCTCTGCAAAGAATCAGGTCTGCAGTGAAATGGGAGCAGATAGAAACTGGAAGAGACCATGCTATATACTAGTGAGGCTTTACCCTTCCAAACATTAACGTGGGCCAGCTTGTTTTGTTTTGATCACTTGCTTGCTGCTATTTTCCCTTTCTTACTTGGACTCTAGTGGAGCAGCAGTCTAATAAAGGACTGGATTTCTTTTCCTCCTCTGTCTCCTAACACCCTGTTAGGTAGTTGAGTTAAATGTCCTGGCAAGCAGCTCTGAAGCATGTCCCTGAGCTTCTAGGACACCTACTGAGGGTTGCTGTGTTGTGTGTCCAGCACTCCCAGTGATCCTGTGAGACCAGAAATCAGAGTTTTGGTGTGGCTAAAAGGTGAGAAAAATCAGTATTTAGTTCCCTTCCTCATAAACACCAAACTTGCTCAGCACTGCAAGTTATGGTGGACCACGTTCAGGTCTGTGGCAAGCCTGGGCTTTCCAAGTCCATCCCCTACCTTCCAACATATTTGCTGTGTGATTAGACAGGCTGGGCTGCATGTGTTGAACCA